CCACACCTCCAGGCCGAAGTGACAAAGCAGAGACTTCTGAACACATTTATTTGATATGTCAAGTGGAGAGAGGAGTGACTTAGGGTTACTCCCCACTTGTACCTGTTGGGGGGGTTCATAAGCTCAGACAGACAGAAGAGCAGCTTAGAGCCCATGACCACCCTCTAGGGAAAGGAGACACCCAGTTGTAGTGTTTGGAGGAACACAGAATAAAAAGCAAGAAGGGCAGCAGCAGAACTGAGGCTAGGAGTGCTGCAGGCACTCCTGGAACAGTGATGATGTCCTGAAAAGTGATAAAGGCTAAAAGCAGAGTGGGGGAAATGAGTCAGGCCCGGGAAAGAAACAAGACCTGCAGAATGGATGCGATGTTCATGAAAAGAAAGTAGGGTGCAAAATCATGAGAAGCTGTGTTGGAGGGCATACATGGAAAGCAGGAAATTGGTTCTGCAGGGGGCCATAGGTACAGGAGAGTACCCATAGTAGTGTGAGTTTGGGACTCTAGCACAAGTTCTGTGAGTTTACTGGTGCGCCGTGTCTGTGGATACACAAGTAATCCCACGTGCATGTTAACCAACCAGGGCAGGAATGCATGTGTCTGTATACCACAAACAGAACCCTGTACCTGCTCCTCCTTTCAGTAAATCTACTGTGCTTGTGGACACGTTTATCCCAGTGTGCGTGCATCGTGCCGTGAGCACATGCAAGAGACCCCTATGTCTGTGATATGAATGTAAGCTGGTTCTCCCACCTGTCCCATCAAAGTCCTGATCTCTGACCCGCTCTTTCCGTTCTTCTCAGCGCCCTGGTTCCCCTGGCCCGCCTAGACTTTGGAAGCCCCCCAGCAGTCGGATCTGTTCAGTCTGCATGGAGTGGCGCCTCACCAACTTGCGCTTGGTCCTGGGAGAGCCCGGCATCCCGGCGTGGGGAGGAGCGGGCAGTGAAGGCGCCCTACCTCCTCCGGGTTGGGGGCGAATGTCAGGGATGGGAGGGTGGGGGCTGATGTTGAGCGGGGGCAGGAAACCCGGCCTTGTTTGCGAGATGTGGTCCAACAGCAACGTCCCCGAGCCCCTCCGTTCCAGCAGCCCGGGACTCCGCCTCCGTCCACTCAGCGGAGAGACAGCTCCAGGCAGGCTTTCCTGGGACTGGCGAGGAGAGGGAGCCGAGCCGGCTGGAGGGAGGGTCAGCGGGGAGGCGCTGTACCGGCGGCGCTCCAGGGACAGGCGGCTGGACTCGGGTGAGTCTGGGCAAAGATGTCCGGGGGTGTCCAGCTCCACCGGCTCCATCCGGCTCAGTTTTTGCCTTAGCCCAGAAGGAGGACCAAACTCCTGAGCCTCGGGCGCAGTGTTCCGGCGTGAGAGCGGACCCCCGCCGGTCACTTTCTCCGCCCACGGGGGCGGATCCTCCGGTCCTTCGGTGCTGTGACGTCGAGAAAGACGGGGTCGCCCTGTCAGGGTCAGGCTATTGAATTCGGAGGTCAAGCGCTCTATCCCTGGCCTCCCTTCTGCAGGAGGAACGGGTTGAGGAGCCACTAGGCCCCAGGGCTCGGAGTTGAGCCTTTTGAGTGGTTTGGGAGGGTGTCTAGGTGGTTTGGGGAGAGGCTCAGAAGGGGAGGAGTCATCAGGGGGCTTAGGAAGAGGAAATTCGAATACGTCTCGCTTCTCCTCTTCTTCCTGGGCGCGAGGGGACAACAACCCTCGTCCTCCTCCTGCGCTCTGCAGTTGGATCTCTGAAGGTGATGTGCAGGCCCCCGGGCTAGAAGGAGCAGGAGCAGGGTCCTCCACCCCCGGCGATGGTGGGGAATTGAGATACTGGCGGGTCTTCTTGGTGCCCGAGGGCGAGGTATCTGTGGTTATGATGATGACCTCTGTGCCCTTGGCCTTGCAGGCATCCAGCAGCGTGGCGAGGGTCTCGCGGTCCCCGCGGTCCAGGGCGTGGACAAGGGCCGAGGCGCCTGCGTGATCTCGGACTGAGGGGTCTGCGCCGTGGGCAAGGAGCAGCGAGGCCACTGCGGCGCCCCCACCCCCGGCGCAAGCGTGCATGAGCGCCGTGCGCCCCAGGCGGTCTGCGATGTTGGGGTCCGCGCCTTGCTCGAGGAGGTAGCGTACCATGCGCGCCTTGTTCTGGGGGTCGTCATACCGGGCCCGACACGCCGCCATTAGCGCAGTCTCTCCCTGGGCATCACCCTCATTCACGTAGGCTCCTCCCTCCAGAAGCAAACGGGCCAAGCGCAGCTTACCCTGACCCACGGCCCGAAGAAGAGCATGGCCCTCTGTGTGCAGCATAGCTGCGGCTGAGTCCAGAGCACCGATACAGCCGGGACTGGGACCTGCCGAGGGTGGCTAAGGGTCTGGGAGTAGTGACTGGCAGAGGCCCGAGATCTCAGGGGTGAAGCCTATCCCTGCGAGAAAGAGAGAGATCTGATTGACGGATTCAGCAGGGAAACTGAGGCAGGAGGCACCCGGCATGGGACGAGGGGGATCTCCACTGCACGCAATCCTTCCTCTAACTCCTCCTGTCTTTAAGCCACCCCTTCCCCCCAGCGCATGCCTAAGGAGGTGGGAAGGGTGCACCCGCACTAAAGGATGAGTGCGCGTGCAAATACATACGTGCACGCGCAGGACTCGCACCCCCACCCTCACCCCGCGGCTTATCAGACCTTTCTAGCATCCCCCTTTTCTTAACCACACTTGGAATCCCCCTCTCTAGGACGCTGAATACCACCCACCCACACACATGCACCCTACAGTCACACACATATTTCCATTTCTAACCTCCTTTAGGTTGCTACAACCCCAAAAAATGAGTAGGGGGAAGGAAGCAACTTGCGTTTGGAACCTAAAAGCGATGAAGGAAGAAATTTTTTTTTTTTTGCCTCTGCTATGTGCCCCATTGCTTCCTCCTGGTTCCCCTCCCAGACTGTGTACCCAAATAGATATACCTGAATGTCCGCAGAATCTCTGTCTGGCCAGGATTGAGGCCGGGGCCATGGGACAGCCGGGGTGGAGAAGCCAGAGTCCTGGGGGTCCACATGGCTTGGGGGGGGCACCCAGATTCCCTTGGTGTCAGTATCAGCGCCCCGGCGCTGGATCCTGGTCCCTCCTCCCGGTGCGCCCCGGGCACAGCGCCGGCTCTGGAGGAGAGAAGCTGGGGGGGGGGGAGGCGGAGCTCTGCTGTGCTATTTATAGTCCAGCCTCTGCGGGTGGGGGCGTCGGGCACCAAACCGCTCCCCACCAAAGCACACAGAAACCCTGAAATACCTAGAGGCTCCAATCCTGACTTCCTTTTCTCAGCTGACCTCCCCTCAGTCCCAACAAACCTAGACGCTCCTTGGGGACTCCTTGGCGACCTACACAGGGAATATCCAGATCCTTCACTGAGCTTCCGCAGACCTCCATTCTCTGCACTTGGTGTATGTAGGCGCTCCTCTGCGCCAGACCTGGCTGCCACACACAGGGCCTGTGGCACACTGTGCGGAGGGGTGTGGAAGGCGGCTGAGATCACATCAGCGTCCACACTGTGCAGGAGGCAGGAGAGCTGGCTGCCCGTTTGCGGTTTAGGTATCAAGGCAAGTACAGTCCAGCTGGAGTCAGACACAGCAATACACACCCACCCCACCATTCCCAGAACTGAATACATACATATCACAGAGAAACTTGAACCTCGGTGCCCTTACTTAGACCTCTTAGACAAGTGAGAAGAAGGTAGGTATCCTTGGGCAGTTTTAAACAGGCCAAGGGACATTCCCAAGTATCTCTTTCCCATGGGAGGGCAAGGGTAGGAAAGGAGCAGGAAGATGAGCGGACCTTGTGACACAGCTTCTCCCATTGCCTCTCTTTGCTATATCTTGTTTGGATTAATTTATCTTGTTCGGAAGGAAGAATCAAATGGTCCCTATGCTTTCTCTCTTCCTATTTGTCGTTGTCCTCTCACTGTCTGCCTCTCCTTGCCACCTAACCTGTCTCCATGGTTACCATAGCTTCCATCTGCATATTTTAGGAATGAGTGTGTCCAGCTGGAAGGCACGAAGGGAAGTGGGGGGATGAGGAAAAATTCTTCGGATTTGGTCCTAGCTAATTCAGAGGCTGGAGGCCAGCAGACAAGAGGACACTAAAAATAATATTCCTGGGTAATGGGGAGAAATATTTGCTGGGAAACTAGCCATTTTCACTAGTCACCAGTGTCAACTATGTGCCAAGTGCTTTCCATACATTATCTCCATTCTTCATACCACCTCCGTGAGATAGGAGCTACTATGTCCTTGTGACATTTGTCATAATGTTAAGCAAAATGTCCAGAGCTTCACAGCTGTCTTTTTCCTATTCCACCTGCCACAGTATCTCCCAGTCTAGAGGGTTTTTTTTTTTTTTTTTTTTTTTTGATAGCTGGGATATTCTTGCTAACTCCTAGATTTTATCTTCCCTCCGCACTCTTTCCCTCCGTCTGTCTGTGAAAGTAGGACTCCTCCTTCCACCCTGCCCCTCTTACCCAGGGGCTTAGAGGAGCCTAAAAGCAGTGGAGAAAACAGCAAACACTGGGCTCATGCCCTGCTTCCCCAACTCTACTTCTCTGATAACCCAGTCCTCTTCCCACCTTCTCATAGACACGGCTGCAACCCACAGAAAATCATTTTCATAGGTACCCATTGGCGGTGCTGGAGAAGACGGTGAGGACTGGAAGGGAATGTTGTAGGTAGGGGAGAAGAGGCCACCCTGTTGAGGCAGAGTGAGTTGTTAGCTCCTCTTGGACGGAGGGGTTTCCTTCAACAGATTTCTATCAGATCTGAGCGTCATGTTCTTTCTATGAACTGTCGCTAAGCCGGAGCTTCTCCATCAGCGGTGAGGTGGAAATAACTGACCCGCGGTGATCTGCAAGCCCATCTCTCTCTGCGCGGCGATTTCCAGCCTTAGTTCCGGCGGGTTCCGCTAGTCCCTGCATCGGTGCTTTCAAGTGGGCGGACCTCCCTCCTCCTCCGCTTCTCCTAGATTGGCTGGGAGAACCTACCAATAGGGAGCCCCGGGAGGCGGGCCTAGAACGCGCCCGCAGGAGGAAGAGAAGCAAATTTTGAGTTGGCCTCGGCGTGGGCTCCTTGTGGGGGAGGGGCAGCAGGTAAGTCTCTGACCTGGTGACTGTGACCTGGTTTGGTCTCACACTTTCCGAACTAGTTCACCAGAGACAGACTACGACACAGACAACGCCTTCCGGCAGCCTGTTGGATCAGCCCCCTTCTGCCTCCCACCTTTTCTCCCCTGGGCTCCCATTGCTGTATCAATCAGATTTTTCTACTACGCATCAGCAGAGAGATTGAAACAGAAAATCAAAAAGGTTCGCTCTTGCATATTTTCTCTTTGTTATGGCGTAAGCTTTCCCTCGATCTATTAATGTTATCACCCTATGCCTGAACAACTCCTATGATCTGTCAAGACTCAGCTGAATGTCCTCTACCTGTAGCTCTCCTGGACCTCATTTTTCACCAAAGTCTTACACCCTCTGGTGATGCGTTGTTTGTTTTTGAGATAAGTTCTCACTCTGTGGTCCAGGCTGGACTTGCTGCAAGGATTCTCCTGCCTCAGCCTCCTGGGTGCTGGGATTGCTGCCTCCACATTAGGCTTAATGGTAGCATTTTAGGTTTATCTTTATTAGAGAATTCAGAGTGAACTATCTCCTTTAATCTTTCTGTAGTTCTCAGAATATCATGTTTCTGTAGTTCTCAGAATATCAGGTTTGTAGGGCTGGTCCTAGGACTTGATACGTAGTGCCCAATAAGTGTTAATTGAATGAAATTGATTTCTGGAAAGGAGCACTTTGGGTTTTTTTGGCACTCAATCTTTTATTTTCTTAAACTGTACACAAACGCAAAATACTTTAACAGCCAGTCTATGGGGAAACTGTTTGGTTTCAAGAGCACTTTGTTTGGGAGGCAGAATATAAACTCCTAATGTAATTGGAGAATAATAAAAGACAATTCCATATGTATAATTAAGAACCCTTAAATTAATGGTTTAAAACGTATTTCATGGGGCCGGGGAGATGGCTCAGTAGGATAAGCGCTTGACTAACAAACTTAAGGATCTGAGTTCAATCCCTGGTTCTGCCAAAAACAAACAAACAAACAAAAAAAAAACGTATTTCATAATTTGCTTTAGTCCAGAAAAGGAAGAAAGCAAGGAGAAGTGGAGGGAAGTCTTTATGAATCACCAGGTCTCAGGTTTGGAAGGCCAGTAGAAATCACGAATTAATTCATTCAACAAGTATTTATCAAGTACCTCCCATATGCTAATGCAATGCTAGATAGTGAGGAGCATAGTGAACGTTTGGCCCTGACCAGACATCTTTTCTCTCTCTCATCAACCCTATTTAATACATTGTTATTAAGCTTTTATGTAAACTTCTTTCTTTTCCTGTTTTTGATGATAAATTTGAACTCAGGGCCTCATGCATGCTAGGCATGGACCCTACCACTGAGCTGCAATCCCCTACCCCTTTATTAAGAGAACTCACTGTCTCTGTTTGCGTGTCATTCCATTTGGGGATATGTGTTCTTTAGGTAGTATCCAACAAATATTTAAAATAAGAAACATAGCTTAATGAAATACATTCTGTATTTCCCTTATAAAAGAGAGAGAGAGTTGCACCCTACTGAGTCCTTTTTTTCTTTTTCTTCTTGAGACAAAGGTCTCCCTGTGTAGCTCGGGCTGGTGTTGAGCTCACTCTGTAGCCCAGACTGGTCTCAAACTCACAGCCATCCTTCTACCTCAGCGCTAGGATTACAGGCGTATGCCACCATGCCAGGCTTTGATATGTATTCTTTTTTTCTTTCAGTACCAGGAATCAAACTTGGGACCTAATACTTTCCAGGCAGGTGCTTTTGCCATTGATCTGTATGTTTTTACTGTTTTTATTCTCTGTGTGTATGTGTATGTCATTCATAAATAGGACTACGTAATAAATATAATTTTGTGTCATGTTTTTCTCAACTCTGAACATTTTCGATACAATGGCCATTTTTCTGCCTTTAAGTATTATTTAACGCAATGAGTTCTGTGGCTACCTAATAGTCTAAAATGGTAAATTGTCTGATTTTGGTTTTTTCTTTTTTTGAGACTGGTTTTGGGTTGTTTTTTTTTGAGACTGGGTCTCATTATGTAGTTCAGAGTAGCCTTGAACTTACTATGCCGGCCAGGTTGCGCTTGAACTCATGGCAGTCCTCCTGCCACAGCCTCCAGAGGTTTACAGGCATGTGCCATCATGCCTGGTTTTGTTTCTTTTTTGAAACAGGTTCTCCTTATGTAGTTCAGTCTGGCCTCCAGCTCACCTCCCAAGTGCTGGGATTACAGACATGAGCCACCATGCCTGGCTGGTTACCTGATTTTTAACCGCCTGTTTACCATCATCATCACCATCATTTCGGCTTGGGGGAGCACAGGATCTCACTGTGTAGTTTATGTTGGTCTTGAACTCTCTATGTAGCCTGAGCTAGTCTCGAATTGGTGGTGATCCTCAGCCTCTTGAGTGGTGAAGTGTGCGTCACTGTGCCCGGCTCATCCATTTATTATTGAACCATTTAAGTTATTTCAGAATTTTTGCTGACATAAATAGCTCTTTGAGGACTGGGGAGATAGCCCAGAAGAATAAGTGCTTGCCTGGGAAGCGCAGGGTCCTGAGTTCAATCCCCGGTACCACACACACATACACAACAAAAGCTCTTTGATGAATATCCTGGTACTTATATCTCTATATATCTAATGATTTCTTTAGCGTAGATTTTAAAAGTAGGATTACCATATGAAGGATATAAACATGTGAGAGGCTATTGAATCAAATGATCAAATTGTGATTGTATTTATAGTCTTTCCAGTGAGGTCTGAGACTCCATTGGAGCTCCAGAGTTCACTGCTGCTCAGCCTGAGGTCGCAGACTGGTCCGAGGGCGTGCAGGTGCCCTCTGTGCCCATTCAGCAGGTCCCTACTGAAGACTGGAGTGCTCAGCCAGCCACAGGAGAATGGTCTGCAGCCCCCACCGCGCAGGCCACCGAGTGGGCAGGAACCACCACCAAGTGGTCTTGAGCTGTTCTGTTAACGCTTAAGCAAAATGGGTATGAGGCTGATGAAAAATAAAACAATTTTTAAGAGACTCCACTGGAAAAAAAAAATTCTAACATCTTGATTACTATTTAAATCTTTGTCAAGTCCATAGGTGTAGAGTGGTTTTGCTGGTTATTCTTTTGTCAATTTCCTATTCATTTACTTTGCCCACTTTTTCTACTAGAGTGGCTTTCTTTTATCATTTAGACTTCTAAGAGTTCTGATATAGTAAAATCATTAATTTCTTGCCTTATGTAGTGTAGTACAGATATAGCCACTGTAATACTTAGAGAACTCCAGCCCTTAGTCCCCAAATCAACCCACGGGAGATATCATTCAGTCTTAAGACATGAACTGTGATTCACATGCTGATGACAACACCAAAGAAGGTAAACTACTTTTAAACCTGATGGTGCCGCAGGGCACTTGTGTCTGTGGTGCTTGCTGTTGTATCACTAGCCTCTAGAACAGTGCTCGGAACATGAGAGGTACTCAATGGAGACTTGTTGAATGAATTAAAGTGCATTATTATTATTATTCCCGTTTTGCACATGAGGCAGTTTAGAGGTAATTTGCCAAAATGTGTGTAGCTAGGAAATGGCAGAACTGTGATTCAGTCCATGTTCGTACCCACTATGGATACGGCCTTCCTCAAATTTGGTATGTATGTGAGAATTTTTCTGTTTGTTTTGTTGAAACTCAACTCAATGCACAGTTATAAATACAATGTATATGAGAAGTTGTTTGGGGGAAAGCAGAAGGCAAGGGCAAGCATCACAGATTGGGGCCAGAGCCATGGAGACCTTCCATACCCTCAAGAGTATGGGGTAGACTCTTCACAATCAGAAATAGCAGAGACGTGTAGACTCCCAAGCTGACAGGAGTTGATGAGTGCCTTATAGTTCACAACCAGTAACTTATTGCCTAGATTAAATGAAATTTTGTCTTTTCCCCCCAATCCTTAGTTCACGCATTTGATACATGGAAATAGTTAGGTCTGGCCTTACTTTGTTTGAGACAGGGTGTTGGGGTTGGTTTGTGTCTAGTTGTCCCACAAAGCTTCATGTGGTCATGGGATAGACTTCTACTGATTGTTATTAATTCATGATCCAATGCTGGGATTATTGGTGTGAGTGCTACACCTGCCCTGGGGCAGATAGTCTGGATGCAGTATAAGGAAGGGAGAAAGCCTTACCTTTTTGTTCTTGCTGTTTTGCTGTTTTCCACCACCATGAACTGTTGCCCTCCTCCATGTGTCACTCTGCCTTGGAACCAACTGGTTATGGACTAGAACCTCCACAAACTTTGAGCTATCAAACTGATTTTTTTTTCCCAGTACTGAGAATTGAACTCAGGACCCTGCACTTGCCAGACAAGTGCTTATTCTACTGGGCTGTCTCCCCGGCCCCAAACTGTGAGCTAAATAAACCTTTGATTCCTTAATTCTGGGTGTTGGGTATTTTATCCCAGCAATGAAAGAAAAGTAACCAGGATGCAGGATCTCATATTCAGGTTGGCTTTGAACTTGTGCAGATCCTTCTGCTTCAGATCCTCCTGCCTCCCCACTGTGCCAGGAGTACCAGTCCCAGACAACCAGCCAGGAGTCAACTTGGAATCTTGGATCCATAGTTACAGGCGTAATTCCCTGAGACTTGGGGCCTTTTCTTTTTCTCCTTGTTTCTTATTTATTTATTGGATACAGGGTCTCACTACGCAGTTCTGACTCAGTAATCCACCTGTCTCAGCTTCCCCAGCTCTGGGATTACAAGCATGGGCCACCACGCCCTGTTTCAGTGGCAGGCCCGATGCGCCCCGGGTTCCAGGGCTGGCATGTCGTGCAGTACTGTGGATCAAACGCTTAACCTTGTGCTTGCCAGACAGACGTTTAGATGATCGAGCTACTCCCCAGCCCTCTTTTTTTATTTTTTGAAAGAAAATAAAAAATACAAAATTTCACTAAACAAAATGGTAGGACTTTAGTAATGGTTGTTATATTGTATATTGTCTTCAAATTAGTTGTTCAGATTAGCATATATAAGCATGCAGAATTGGTCAAAAAATTAAAGAAAAAATAAGCTTTAACTATTCCTTTCAACAGGCCAGTAGAAATCAGCAGTACAGTTATCCAAGCTGTCGTGTGTGTGTGTGTGTGTGTGTGTGTGTGTGTGTGTTATATTTTTTACCTCTCTTTCTTTTCTCCTTTACTTCATCCTAGTAGTTCCTTCTCTTTAAGCATTTTCTGTCCCTTTCACAGTATCTGTCCTTTTGGATCTTATTTATTCTTTCAGGTTTTTATACTAGTGAGACAGTATGGTGTTTACTCATGTGGGTCTGCTTTATTTCACTTATGAATGTGGTCTCCCGTTGCATCCATTTGCCTATAAAAGCCTCAACTTCATCTTTCTTTTTAGTTGAGTAATACTCCATTGTAGAAAGATACATCTTTTGTATCCGTGCCTCAGCTGATGGGCATTTGGGTGGTTTCCAAGGTTTAGCTATGACAGATTGCACTGCTGTCACCATGGGTGCACGGACCCTGCTTGCAGTTCTGCCCAGTGGCCTTTTCTTAGCCTCCCTGCTCTGTGGTCCAAGCAGCTCCCGTCTCTACTATGACAGTGAGATCTCTGAAGTGCAAGCATACCTGCGTGGCTAAGCCAAGTGCTTTGGAGGGGCTGAGGCTCAAGGGACAAATTCTTCTTCTTTTTAAATCTTTTTTTTTTTTTTTTAATGTATTTAGTAGAGGGTCTACAGGGTCTCAATATACAGTTTGGACTCGTAGTGAACCTCCTGTTTTCAGCCTCCCAAACCCTGGGTTTACAGGCGCACCACCACATCCAGACTCAATCCCAGTCTCAATCCTGTCTCAGTGTGCCCCGGAGGTGGGGTCGGCGTAGCTTGTCGGGGTCCAACCCGTGGCACTTTAGTCCCACTGAGCTATCTGGCCAGCCCTTTTTTTATCTGTTTGAGACAGGGTCTCACTATGCAGTTTAGGCTGGCCTTGAGCTTACTTTGAAGACCAGGCTGGTCTCTCTCACAGTGATTCTCCTGCCTTAACCTGCAGGTGCTGGGACTACAGGTGTGTGCCACCACATCTTGCCTCTTCCTCTTTCTTTAATCTCCCTGAGATGTCCTCTCTCCCCTGATATGTTCTTTCTTACTTAATCTCGTAACCAACAGCCATTTTTTCCACAGTTTTCATGGCAGTCGGTCTTGAACATTTCTAGATTCCTCAGGCACACATTTTGCTACCTTTTCCTTCCTGCTAAAAATTATTAAGCCTCATCATTTCTCAGCATTTTGAGTAAGATCAGGTATAAAATGATTAATCTTATCTCCTACTCTTTAATTATATTTAAATTTAGTTAGACTAGACATGGTGGTGCACGCCTGTAATTCCAGGACTCTGAGACTGAGGCAGGAGGATTATTGCAAGTTTGAGACCAGCCTAGGCTACCAAGTGAGCACAAGGCCAGCCTGAGCAGCATAGTGAGGCCCTATCTCAAAAAAAAAAAAAAAAAGTTAGAAATCTGAAATTATTATTTTCTCTGGTTATAAAAGAAGTACTTATATACTATATATAGGAAAAAATTAAGTGCACATAAATCAAAATACTTTTTTTTTTTTTTTTTTTTTTTTTTTTTTTTTTTTTTTTTTTTGGTGGAACCAGGGATTGAATTCAGGCTCTTGTGCTTGCCAGGCAGGCGCTTATTCTACTGAGCCATCTCCCCAGCCCCTCAAGAAACATTTTAAAGCCCTTGGAAGGCTTTATCATCTCAAATTAAGCAATGTTAGTTTGCTTGCTTTTTTACATGCTGGAGGGCTCAAACACAAGGCCTTTGTACTGAGCTATATCCACAGCCTTTTTTTAAACTTCATTTTTATTTTGAAACAGGAACTTGCAGAGTAGCTAAATTGCTTGGGCTGGGATTGAATTTGTTTTTGTTTGCTTATTCGTGCGTCTTTTTGAGACAGGGTTTCACTCTAAAGTTCAGGCTGGCCTAAAACTTCCAATAATCCTCCTGCCTCAGCCTGCTTAGTGCTGGGGTTACAAGCATGGGCCAGCGCACCTGGCCAACGCTTTATTTTATTGCTCAGATTTTTCCAGTTTTGACCACTAGGAGATGCTATTTCATTAGCTACTTTAGGGCCCCATCAGAGGTGTGAGTTTGCCTGTGGTTGTGAGGACTTCCTTGTCTTCTGGCCCCTGAGATGTTCCAGGCTTATCTTATGTATTTCCCGCCTCACCCTAGAAGCAGCCATGTATCCCAAGAGCCCTAGTTCACTTTCTTGGAAAAGAATATTAAAAACTAAGGTCTAGTTGTTGAATGTGTTCCCTGCTCCTGGATTATCATGCCAGTCAGGTTTCACTTTCATTTGGTGAGTTTAGTCCTCATCCTAGCTCTCTGATTGGCTGCTCAGGATTCATGCAGGAGGCAGTGGAGGAGGAACTGAGTACAGCAGTGGAGGGGCTGTTTCTGGAGAAAAATGGACACCCTCACAGGAGGAAAATGCTACCAAAGCCTCTGGAGCTTCCCCTAGGAAGGGTCTGGATTAGTGTCCCCTAAGGGTCCTTTTAATTCTAAGACTCTGCACTTCCAAGGAGTGTCCAGAAAGATCCCTTTGATTACAGTGTCTCTTTGTCCCCTCGTTGACAGTGAGGTCATTGGCTCATTCCTGTGTCCCCAGTGTCTGACATACTATCCTTTTCATGTCAGATGTTTTGCATTACTGCCCTAGATGGACTGGGACCCTGGCTGAGTGTGGAAGGTCAGGGAGATAATTAAAAGGTTACATGGAGAAATATAGGCAGTGCTAAGCCTCAAGTTGTTGTAGGGAAGTTTTAGCTGACTCTACTTGCTTTCTCTTTGGTACTGCACTTACCTCCTGTTGAGATCTTCTCTTGTCCATGTTTATGCTGAATGACCCCACCTGGCATGTCTTGAGTCAACATTTGTTGAAATACATTGGCTTTTCAAGTGTCAGGGAGAGAAGCTGAAGTATCTGCTGGCTGTTTGGCTTCCCAATTCTTCTAGTGTACTTCATTTTCTCTTTGTTTTTGTCATTATCAGGTTGTTCTCACTGTATCTCTGAATATCCAGGCCCCCTCCACCATGGCCAGCCGGGGTGGGGGCCGAGGTCGTGGTCGGGGCCAACTGACCTTCAATATGGAAGCTGTGGGCATTGGGAAGGGGGATGCTCTGCCTCCGCCCACTCTGCAGCCTTCTCCACTCTTCCCTGTGAGTACATCTCCCCTTCCCGAAACTCCAGCGCACCCTGTCTGCCTGTGTGCTCCTGGATTCCACCCAGCCACCATGCTGCCATCTGCGCCTTGCCCTCCTGTCTCTTTCTTCCCAATCCTCGGGTATCTCCAGGCTAAAAGGTCTCTCCACACTCCCAACTCCCTCGCTCTCAGAACACTGGATCACTACATACTAACCCTCCTCTCTGTTGGTGCCCTGCTCAGTGGGAACTCTGGGTTGCATCAAGGGGAGAGGCCCTCTTGGGTTGTTCTCCAGCATTTTCTCCCTGCGCTGACCACGCTGCTTCTGTCTGCCTCCTTAGCCCCTGGAGTTCCGCCCAGTGCCTCTGCCCGCAGGAGAAGAAGGGGAATATGTCTTGGCGCTGAAGCAGGAGCTACGTGGGGCCATGAGGCAGCTCCCCTACTTCATCCGGCCAGCTGTCCCCAAGAAAGGTTAGCTCATCATGTGGGGAGCGCCTGTTCTCAGCAGCACCAGAAACAGTGAGGCACAGAAAAGCACGAATAGATACACAGAAGAGAATAATTACTGCTGTATGTGAAACGCATAACAGTGTTTGGGCTTCGTTTTGAGTCTTACAATAGTCTTGGGACAGTAGTAGGTGAAGTGTTAAGGTCTTATCTCACATGTATAAATGGGGAGACGTATTAATTTGGGAGAAGGTACTGGGGAGTGAACCCGGAGCCTTCACACGTCAGCAATATTTTTCCTTTATTTAACATTTTGAGACAGGTTCTTGCTAAATTGCCTAGTCAGGGATCAAACTTGCAATCCTCCTGCCTTAGCCTCTCAGAGTGCTGAGATTTACGGGCACATGCTTTCATGTTTGGCTTAAAAAAATTTTTTTTTTTTATTTTTTTAA